TATATATATATATGTACTTGTTACAACTCTAGTATATACATACTTGTTACAACTCTCTATATATACTTGTTACAACTCTAGTGTATACTTGTTACACTTATATACTACTTACAATTCCAGTTGGCAACTCTAATTTATCTACTATATACAATTATTGTTTGTACACTATTTAAAACTCTGTTGCTTAGTAATGTTTCTTCAGTATTTCTGAGAAAGATTTTTTTAAATTTGTTTAATTTCATCAACAACAACAAAATATATTACTTGAGACTGATTTATTTCTTCCTAATAATTTGAGAGTTAGTTTTCGCTACCGTAATGTTAATTATATTGACTGCAGATAATAAAACAAGGTTAATGTATTAGCGGGTTTTGTTAGAGGAGGTGGTTTTTGAAATTTAACCCTCAGTACCAGCAGTCCTCTTGTTCCAGAAAACATCCACCCACCAGTAGTTCATAAAAGGTCAGTCTAAGCTGGTAATCAAGAGTCGACGGAAAGGATGTTTCTTCTAGAATGTACTCACCTACTATAGTGTTTTTCTGTATTGCTAACAGGAGGATCGTTTCGTGCTTAGTGATATAAGTATTCCGGTTCTGATTATTTATATATCTTATGCTATATATAACCCGCTAAAAACTTGAAAATTTGAAAGTTTGAAGAAAGAGATTTTGAAATATTGGTAAAAGTTTTGATGATAATCCATAGACGACGAAATTTGAGGAAAAAAAGAAGAAGATAAAATCAATCTCATTAATTGACACTGACTTAGATTTTACAGTGTTTGATAAAATATACTGGAATGTCTAAAAACGGACCTATCGTGTTATTCGTTTTCATCTTCTCTCTTGGTTTCTACACTCTTTGTTTTACAGGTTTGTTTTTCCTATAGTAATAATTATTACTTATGTTTTTTGAATAATGCGTTTTCCAAGTCTTACAATAAGGTTTGCTTAGAGGCTAAATATATTTTCCAGAAATATCATTTATTTACTTCCAATTGGTAGACTCATTTTATCATTCTTCTCGTTCGTGGTATTATATATATCTTCGTGTTATCTTGTCAAACTAATCAAACACTTAGTATTGAATTTTTTTATTATTATTCAGAATATTATATTCATCTAGTAGTGTTGTTGTTCCTTTAAGTAAAAAAAATGACATTAACATCATATTATCTCTCGTATTATCATATTATTGTATTGATCTTCATGTGTTAGTCAGCATTTTATATTAATAATGTACTGTTTGAATTGTTCTAGCCAAAGATATTGTATTATTCTTGTATTATTCTCTTGTACTAATCAAAACATTAAATTGATTTTGTATTGTTCTTGTTGCTCTAATTTAAAACTTAGTACTAATAATATTTTTCCTTTATGTTATTTTTTGACGATATGATATTGTTATTGTTGCTATAGTAAAGCTTTATATTAATATTGCAGTGTTCTATCTGCTTTAATGCCCAAACATCCTTGTCAAAACTTATGTTGTTTTTATATATAAGAATTATTATAGAAATAACAAACAATTCAAAGATATATAGGATAATTTTTTCTGATTTTACAGAAAGAAATAGTAACATAACGAGTACACTCAATCTTGAGGAAACTCCATTTTTATTTGCCTGAGTTTTATGTAGAATAGATCCCTTCCCTTGTTAGCCTGAGTCATGTATAGATTCGAATCTAAGCTATTTTTTGCGTCAGGTTTAGATAAAATCAAATTTCAGTCCTTGTTTTATACAGTGCTGATCCTAGCAATTATTAGCTTCATAGTTATGTGGAATCAATCTTAAACCCTTTTTAATATCAGTCCAATCCCTTGTAGGCATCAGACTTATACAACACGAAACTTAGTCGTTGTTACTGTCAGTTTTGTATATCACTGACGTCAGCCCTTATCAGAATTAATCATATACAACGTCAGTCTCCAACCCTTTTAAGCATCAGTTTCAAACGTATTACATTTCTAAAACATAGATAATCAGCCTTGTACATCATTGAACTTCAGTTCATATTAGAGTATTGTACCGAATCGATTCTCAGCTGTTGTTAGTCTTAGCCGTAAATAGAATCGGCTCAGTGTCCTTGTTAATATGAATCTTATATACAATTTATTTCTAGCCCCTGGTAGCATCAACAATATACAAAGTTCACCCTAGTTTTTTTACTACTATTCTTATGCATTATCAACTCGCAACCATTGTTAGCCTCATTCTTATAGTGAATCTATTCCTAATCTTTATCAGTATTAACCTAATATTGAATCAAACTCTGGATATTTAAACACCAGTCTTCAATTGCTTATATTTCATTCTTATACCTTATCGGCTTTATACAGCAAAGAATTTCAACCCTTCTCAGTATCTTACACAATACTGACTCCCAGCTCTTGCTAGTCTTAGTTTCATACAGAAAAAAACTCTAAACCTTTGTTAGCTTGAACATAATATATAATAAACTACCAATTGTTATTAGCTTTAGCCTTTTACAAAATCGATTCTTACCTCTAGTAAACCTTATACAGGCTTCCAGCGCTTGTTGGCCTCAGCCTTATACAGATGTTAAGCACTTTAAATTATAACGATTTTGGAGCCTCACAATGTCGTTATAGTCCATATCACCACGTCCGGTTATGTTCTGTCTGAAGGCTGTGTATTTTAACAATAACCCTACAGCGTAATTTCATTTGCAAAAGGCTTCATCGTAAGGTTGTCATGGTCAAAACCCATCATTGTCCCTGCATGCCTTCCATATTCTGTCTAGTGTACTAGGATGACAGTATTCCAGTTCCCGTTTCAACAGTCCGATCAGACAGAAATACATAGCTATTTCATTCTTCAGCATCTTGAAGTATGCAACTATTGAACGGATATGTCCTGGAAGCACCTTCTGTGCACGTAACTTGTGTCACTTCTCCAGATGGAGATCCTTCTTGATTATGTTGCGCACTGTTGTCTACGAACTATGTTCCTGTCACTTTTTGTTTACCATGGCTGAGGTATGGCATGTTGCAGGTCTCTTTCTGAATGGTTATGATGCCCAAAATTCACCTTCCTACGTTTTCCGATGCCATTAACTGCAAGGGATACTTAGCAATCCCCAATCTGAATAAATGTTTATTATTTGAGTGTATGAATATTTTGCGACCGAAAGAGTTGTTACATACCCTTCCGAAAAGCGATAAATTTTCGGTGGTGTAATAATACTTATGTAACGTCAAGCAATATCAAAATGCAGTTCTGATACATTCCATTCCACTACATTGTTACAAAGGCTGTGGATGTTATGTGACTTGCTGATTTACATATTCAAATTTGTTGTAATATAATGCATTCAGCCCTCTATACAAAATGGACTGATGTCATTTTTTGTTCGCTTGTTTGTTGTTAAATCATAAGCTACCCAATGGGCTATCTGTGTTGTGCCAACCACGGTTACAGAAACCCGGTTTTTAGATTATAAGCCTTCAGAATTACTGCTGAGCCAATCGGAGGCGCTGTTAGTCTGTTTTAGCGCACTTTTATTTTTGAAATGACTACCAGCCATTGATAGTGTTAGTTTTATACAGCTACATACTATTTAAAGTTCTAGTCTGCATACAACTCTAGTCTGACTAAAGTTTACAACTCTAGTCTGACTAATGTTTACAACTCTCAACTAACTACAGTTTACAACTCTAGTCTGACTAAAGTTTACAACTCTAGTCTGACTAATGTTTACAACTCTCAACTAACTACAGTTTACAACTCTAGTCTGACTAAAGTTTACAACTCTACTATGCGTACTGTTCTAATCTTTACAAGTTTACAAGTCTCAATCTCCAACCATTCGGTGCTCTTTAACAATTCATTAAACTGTTTTATCCTTTGATTAATTTCACGGGTATTCAAAAACAAACTTCTAAGTTAATATAACTAAGGTTTACCGCTAAATTTGTTTTCAAGAAATTGTTTTTAATCACGTGTTATTTTCTTATTTTCCCATTTACTCTAAATGTTTAACGTTTCACCTTTTATAAGTTTATTAAAGCATGTTTACAGAGTTACTTAGAAAATTGTATTTTTGAAATACTTATTTTATTTAAGTTTTACGTTTTATTTTCATTCTACTCTTATGCCTATTACAAACATAATTATCTATTACAGAAAGAACAGAGGAAGAAAACCAAATTACTGAAACCGAGCTAATAAACCAGATTCTCAAGAAGTTAGACAAAAACATTGCACCACCAGGGACGTACAATACCACACAGAAAATATCGTTCTTATTTGTGCTGTTGTTCATTTTAGACCTGGTTAGCAAATATTAATATTAAGAATTATAATCAGATTATAAACAAAAATGTTCACACTGAATGGAAATAAGGTCATGGAGGGATTACTTTTTGTTCGTTATTTTGTAAGGAATATCATGAAATACTTATATGTTTAATACCTGATAACTAGACATCATAAGTCATAATCAAAATAATTTGTGGTATAGATCTCGACAAATATCAACCATGACATTACATGTTATACTGAGCACTTCCATAGATATTAATCAGAGAGTGAACAAACAAGTGACAGTTAAAAAAAAGTTATTTGTGATAAACATCCGAACTGAATTATAAAAATGACACGCTAATTAGACGAGATAAAGCTAATAGGACGAATATTTTGAACATAATACCATTATTCAAAAAACAATATAAGTCGCAAAGCTAATGTGGGCGAGAAAATTCCGTATCAAAAGGTATAATCAGATATATGTGAGATTAAAAAATAGATCAGCAACTTCCAACGTTTTGGAGATAGTGGATCAACTTCTCCAAAATCAAGCGCCTTTTAATGAATTAAAAACAAAATGGTCATATTCGAAATCAAGCACCTTTTAATGAAAATTAAAAACAAATTGGTCATATTCGAAATCAAGCACCTTTTAATGAAAATTAAAAACAAATTCGTCATATTCGAAATCAGGCACCTTTTAATGAATTAAAAACAAATTGGTCATATTCGCTATAATTGTTAGCTTTCCAACAAACACCTAACAAAAATGTCCATGTATATGTCCCCTCTTCTTCCCCCTTATATTGTTGATTAGCCAAGTTGATAGAGTGACCATATTATTAAAATTGGTGATACAATATTTTCATTTATTGACTATGGATATCTCATATAGAGTCATTAGAATTTAATTACTTATTTGCTTATCTGAAATGTTAAATATTAAGTAAAAAAGATTTCAGATCTTATAACATTCCTAGGAGTAGAAACTTCCTTTTTCTGGAGGGATTTTGCTTCTAAACTTCCTTCATCAGGTATTTCAACTCCAACAAAGCTTCAATCTGTAAGTTTTAGCGATAATATAAGAGTAAATCGATACATACTGTATAATCTGGAAAAGTAAACATTACTATGTTCAAACTAACAATAAATACATTTCATTTTAAAATCAGTTGATACTCCAGGTATTCTGTTATCTAAAAAAGGAAAAGAATTAACACTTTGTTCTTCTATTGTAAATTTAATATTATTGTGTTAACTGTTCAAGTAACTTAGGAATTCCTGAATATCAAATTTATTCTTAAAAACTACAGATGTATTATCAACATATCTTCTATAGTATAAAGTTTTAAACCGTTTGGGTCAGTTTTCTAACAACCTTTTTTCACGATGACTTAAAAATAAAATTGCTAAACCTGGTGCAATTCTTGAACCCATAGACACCTCACCAAGTTGTTCATAATGACAACCATAAACAAATTGGAGTTTTGGGTGACAAATTCTAATAGTTTAATATAAACAGGCTTAGTTATACCCCTAACAGCATCAGAAGTTTGATTTACTTGATTTAACGGCAAGTTTGTATATAAAGACTCAATGTCTAGACTAGTAATATAGACAGGTTCGTCAAAAACTAATTTAGACACCTCTTTGGAAAGCTCATAACAATTTTTACCGTAAATTGACTAAATTTATTAGTTACATAAGATTCAAAGAAACCCACTAAAAAATCCGCTAATCTATAACTGAAGGTTATATAAGTGACACAATTGGTCTAATAGAACAATTTAATTTACGTATTTTAGGTCTAATTTTGTTATAGATAACTTCCGATATTAACCCTTCTTTTTAATTTTTAACAAACAATTCTGTAAAAATTTTTCTGTTGGTGTTTCTAATCTCTTAAATGTAATGTTATCATTTAAAATAGTTGAAGCTTTATCTACATAATATTTTCTATACAAAATGACTACACAATTACCTTTGTCCGGTTTAAGAATTACTAAGTTATCCAGTGAACTAAGATATTTTACAACCAAAAATTCTTCTTTAGATATTTTTTTTTGAATTTTCTTCGGGTCAAAACTATAATATCCTGAAAGCGATAAACCTTAATTTTCCGTAAGTATGTCATCAGTAAATCATTTTCTTCAGCTATTGGTACACGTTTTAATTTCTGTAATAATTGTTCAAAATTTTAAAAATATTCCACACAATCCAATTTTTTAGGAGTAATCGAAAACTTTAAGCCTCTTGATAATACCTTTTCTTCGATTTGAGTTAACCGATAATGTGGAAAATTATAAATAATCTGTGTAGAGTTTTCTAAAAAAGTAGACACACTAAACTTCTCAGGCTTTAATTTATACATCTTTTTTATTTATTTTAACCTTATTTTATTCAAAATTTTATTTTTTCAACATTCGATCCCATTATGCAAATGTATAAAATCTAAATTTAAGACCACTTCTTTTAAATTTACTACAGCATTCACCAATTTCTTTTGCAACTGTTTATGTACTTTCAATTTGTATGTCAATTCTTTTGTGAAAACCTATAATATTTAGTAGATCTTAAGTTGCAGTTAGTTAATTTAAACTCTAAAAACTTTGGAACCAAAGGGTATTGTACACATTCATTTAAATAATTAACACGCAATCTAGGTTTATGTAATTCTAAATAAAGTTTATCAACAATCCTAATTTTTTAACACATCTTCATTATATCTGTTCCGAATAATAGGAAAACGTAGTCTTAGGATAAATAATATAATTATTGATATTATACACATAATTACTCATTAATGATTAAACTGCTACAAAGTTATACAACACTAGACATTAAAAGAGAGAGAAAAAAAATCTCACAATAACATAAATACAATAAATATATATATACATACAATTAAAATATTCTGAAATTAAAATCACGCACATCTAGAACCTTCTTGGAAGTTCTACAAGACTGTTCCTCTTCACCAATTCAAAAATATTTTCTATCCTGTTCATAACAATGCATATGGGCGGTTTAAGTAAAACCGAAAGCTTGCATAATGTTCTTTACCTGGTTCACGTTCAGTACGGCCAAGCTCTGAGCAACGATGAAGTTATCGAACAGTTGGGACACAGTCTACTGTTTTATAGTTCTGTCTAGTTAGCGTTTTCAGCCACAATTTGTTTGGCTGCAGACGTGTTTCATCTCGATTGTTATTCTTGATAGACACTGAAAATAAATGTTTTTGAAAAGGCATTCAAAGAATTTGCCTTTGGTGAAGACACTCGTACTACACGTGCAACAACTAAAATGCCCCTTTTAAAGTTGTAAAGTTATTTCCTTTTATCCATTTTTTGGATATAATTACATATCTGCACTGATAAAGTTCAAGTAAACAAATTACACATCAAATGACCAGTCACTTTGGCACACACACAAATAAAAGGATTATTCTACGAACCGGCCAGTCAGTGTATGTGTATTAATATGTTCATTTACTTTTCTCATCTTGCTAGTATTATCATAAAAAAAATTCATCTATATATGGTTGAAATTCGACAATAAAATAAGTAGTCAATTCAAGTTATGACTGATAATACTATGTTGTTTTTGTCTAGGAGGAGAAAACTGGGATTCTTAGTACAGTAGCAGTACCAATTATGGTGAGTACTAGATAGGTAAATAAGGAAATCCCAAAACTAATATACACACTTATTTTCAAGCCTATTCTATCTCAGCCTTTGATAAACATATTCAGGCTATTTTTCAAAAGGAACGTTATATGTAAAAACCTTAATGGAGTCTTTGACGAATTGCAAATATAATTTGTTTGTTGTCAAGCACAAAGTTACATAATGGGCTATCTGTGCTGTGCCCACAACGAATACTGAAACGCGGTTTTTATCGTTATAAGTCTTCAGATGTTCCACTGATTCACTGGGGGGGGGGGGGCTGCAAATATAAAATTAATAATAGAATTGTGTTTTTCCGTCGAAAACTATCAAATCCATAAAATTATAAATAATTTAACGATACGAAACATTGTGATTAAGCTTATGATAAGTATGGCGAATCCGAGAATACGATGCTCATTTTGCTAGTAAAATAGTGCTGGTATTCACTGGGCTTCACAAGTTTATTATAAAAGTCTTTTAAAACAAGAATATTTAACTGTAAGGAATGATTTAATGTATTTTTGAGATTTTTATTACTTATTGTACAAAATGTTTTCCCCCATGGCTGTACAGGTTATAATAACTTACAAACTGCAATGGGTCAAGCGTGACTAAAGTGGTTATCGAACCTGTACTGTGAGTCCAGTGATTCATGGTTTGCTTCCTGTTGCCGCAAGCACGTGATCCGCACTTCTTGGGCCAGATTGTGTTATAACAGTGATTGCTAAATCCCACTATTTGGTAGGACGAGAGTGTTCTCAAGATTTGGCGGTAGGTGCTGTTACCTAGTAGCCTTCTCTGTCTTGTCTATCAGCTTGAAATTATGGACGGCTGTGCACATAAGCTCTATGTATAGTTTTGCGCGAATTTTCTAAAAACGAAACAAATTACGCGATTACATTTAAATCTAATGGTATATTGTTACAATGGTTTTTATTGTTGAGCGAATTCTTTTGAATTATTCGGTAAAATGAATAATGGAAAACTCACTCCGCTTAACGATAGCAAAATCGTTTTATATTTTTGTTCCAATGTTAGCGTACCCGACGTTCATCGTTTGGCATAACTTCACTAGTAAATTAACTGTAAAAAAAAAAAAAAGAAACTTACCACTTTTCTAATTTCATATCTGTTCTGTTTCGTCTAAACGGAATATTCACAGCACCGAACTAACTCGCTGGCAGCTATAGGCAAGTTGACTTAACCGTGCACTATATATATATAGGCTACAGTAATATAAAGCACCTGTACATATTCGCTACAACTGGACAACTTGCTGGTAATAATATACCGGTACGCAGATAAGAAGGTCTAAGGAATGAGTCGCGAATTATTGCTAAACGCATTGTGACAGTGACAGTAAACCCCGTTATTCGCTTAAGTGTAAGTGCATGCATGGGCTGTAGGTGCTACTTACTGGTTGACCTCCATCTTATTAATAGTTCTGAGTCAGAAATGGTTATATGCTTGAATACTGATGTATTTAGCCTAGTAATTTAGCCCATATATATCGCATAAGATGCGTTCAAGTTAAACTAACATTTAAATATTCGCTAACATTTTCCCAGAAGAAACTGTAGAATCATATTCAGAACGCAAAAAGAACATATGCATTTCATATTTCATTTCATGAGTTGTATTATAAAAACATCCTAAAATAAATGATAATAGGAAAAATAGCTTATTAGGTAGTACAATCCTTAGTTCTTGGGGAGTGGACATCGGTTACGATTATCTTTTTTCATTTGTTTATTTGCTTTTTGTAAAGCCCAAAGCTACACAATGGGCTATCTGTGCTGTTCTTACCACGAGTATCGGAACTCGGTTTTTAGCGGCGAGAACCCTCTTATTTATTTCTATTCAATATATATGTGGTAATTACTTACATATTATTGCAAATATTTCTGAATAAAAAGTCTCAGTTACTAATGGATTATTGAAGCCTAAGAGAAATCCATTAAAATAGAAATATAATGTCTTATAGACTTTTCTTATTCGTTATCTAAACAGTGTAAACTATAATAAAATTCACAAAACTTCTGCCGAGATCAACAACAAAAAATATAAAACTTTAGCTTAGTTTGTGAATTTAGGACTAATCTAAATCTCCTAAGTTGGTCTAATCTCGAAGTGTTTGATGTTAAGCGCTAAGCTATACAATGATCTATCTGTGCTGTGCCCATCACGGGTATCGAACCCCGATTTCTAGCGTCATGAGATATTACTGAGTTTGCGGCAGAAAATATTGTAAGCAGCGATAGTACCCAACTGATGAAGAAGTGTTTTCTAATCTTTATAAATAAGAACCTAAGAACAGTATATTTAATTAGCCATTCTCATTACCATGTTGACTTTCATTTATTTTTGATCTAAGTAGGTAGCTTTCTCTGATTGGAAGTTAATATTAATATATAACTGTAAACAATCTCGCCTCACCCTGCTTTAGAATTAGATCATAATTCACGCGTACAATATCTTATTCAGTATATATATAACATTATACACGACTCAAACAGTTACAATAACTTTGTATTCCTCAATAGTTCTGGAAAGATGAACGTTTGTTTTGGAACACTGAGGAAACCAACGGCATTTGGTACATTCGTATCCCTAGAGAGAATATTTGGAAACCACAATTCTCTGTTCTTAATCGGTAAGGTATTTAAAATATCATTAGGAAGTTGTGATCGAAAGAATGCAGAACGAAACTAATTTAAAAGTAACATATACATTAATGACTATAGATTGGTGTAATAAGCTGACTAGAATTACTTAATGTTATATATTAATGTACCATAAAATCAACATCTATAATAACTAGTATGCACTGAATCACTAGTTAAATGTCCTTACTTATATTGATTTTTATTCGATTGTAGTTCCAGACATATCTCAAAGGTTTCGACAAACTTAGAAGATTTAAGACAACAATGAAACATAAAGTCATTTTACCTTGAAAATATTAAAAACAACAACATTTTATAATACTAAAAACAATAGGATTTATACTCACAGACACTAAAATAGCTAGAATAGCTAGATGTGAATTGTAACAAACTGCATCTTAATAAGGGCAAGTACTCTAACTTTGTGGTCTTTAGAACTTTGCAGTTTCTTTGTAGACTAATAAACATAATCCATGTTGATTTGTTTCAAACCTCAGATTTATTTGAGACAGACACGTGTTTTACAAAAACAATTCAGATATTATTTTGTTTGTTTCCCGAAATAGAATAATTCTAAATAAATTGGTTTTATTTTTTAAAATGTTATGTATCTGCGTTCTCCATTGAGAAATATTATCTCATTAAAGAGACTTTGACACGCGTATTTATTAGTAATGGTGTAAGCTTGATTCTCCGCTTACAGTGGAAAGATGGAAGAGACAGGCACAAATAATCCGATTCTACTATCCTCTGGCGGAACTTTAACCAGCCCCTTCCTTGAAAATATATATTCAGTATGCGTTCCGGATCTTCGGTACTTCCCGTTTGATCAGCAGAATTGTGATATTATCTTAGGCTCTTCGGAACTAGAGGTAACAACGCTTCTTGTTGAATCTGATCACATCTCACAACAAATGCTTTACCTTCTTAACATATTGATGATGAACGTCATTTTCTTTGTCATGTACGTCACTACCAATTCATTATCTTTTTACTGCATTTGTGCATACGGTCATTTTTCTGTGTGTTGTATACTTCAAGACAAATTATATACTTTTTAAACGTGTTTCTGGAGAACGTCATCTTTCTTATATACGCATCATGAAATATTCGTTATATTCTTAACGTTCTTGTCATACACGTCATTTTTATCGGTTGTTATATACTGAAAAATAAATTATGTTCCTTCATCGTTTGTTATATAGTTCAAGACAACCCCCACCCCCCACCCCTTCTTAACGTGGTGTAGGTGATCTTGTATTCTTTCTTCTTTTTTTTTTTTAACAAGAAAAATTATTTAACTTTTTAATTAACGTGTTTGAGGTGAGCAACATTCATTTTGTTTCTGATATATTCATGAAAAGACTCATTCTTTACCTTTTTAACATGTTTCTGGTATTGGTTATTTTTTCTTTTTGTTATCTATTTCAAGACTAACTCTTTCACTTGTTAACGTGTTTATGATGAACGAAATATTTCTTATGTACTTTACATGTTAGTGATGAACGTAATCTTCATTGTTATACACATCATGACAAATTCTTTATCTTCTTTACATTGATGTAGTGCATGCTATCTTCTTTGTTATATATTTTTTCTTAACGTGTTTATATATTTGTTATTTACGTCTTTTCAATAAACTTAACGATTTTGTTCATACTGCAAGATGAGATATTTTTGATGCTATTTTTATAGAAAAACTACTTCGATGTAGGAAAATAGCCCATAAATCTGCATTTAATAGTTTGAAATGTTTCAGTATAGGGGAACATCTATTGGTTAACTGAGAATTTCGAGGAGGTTAAATGTTGTTTATGCACGATAATGTTAACAACTCTTTAACTTATATTTCTTTTTTAAAATTATATTTATCATTTAATAAAAGTTAACACAACATCCGCAAAATGTTTCTTGTCGTTTTCATGAAATGGAAAATAACTAAATATATTATTTCATTTTTTTTTCGTCATTTCATATCTAGGTCCTTTGGATATGGATATATCCAAATGGATATATCTAGGTCCTTTGGATATGGATATATCCAAATGGATATATCTAGGTCCTTTGGATAACCTTATCTAAATACACTCGTTATTTAAGTCAGAAATAAAGAAAATCTGTCCCATTATCATTAGAACTTATATCATTTTATACAAGTTTACATTAAAACTTTACACTTGTTTCTCTTTGAAAGAAAATTTACACTAAAATCACTGAAAACAGATAACCAAAGAGAACGGCCTCTTTTATAAGTTATTACTAAAAAGAAACCACTTTTTAATTCGATCTGTTTTTAGCCTAACAGTTAGAAAATATTAGTGATACAAATTCGGTTGTAAATAGCCTATACTTTTAAACGTGTAATCAAAATATCTGTTATTATATATAAATGAAATATCTTGAAGTCGACAAAATTTTTTAATAATAATTTAATAAAAAAAACATTTTGTGCTATGACCATTAAGAAATAACCAGGGAAAGAGATGGGAGTCACTTTGATTTAGCTTTAGTAAGAATAAGCATTTGAAATTACTTATAAATTACACTCGTCGTAATCAATCCAGTTCTGACAGAAAATGCACATCCTTTAAAAAGGTACAATCCAGTGAAAATAGTTCCAATAAAGATATACTAGTGATAATGAAGAAGTTATGAGGGATAACAGATACAAACGAAGTAATAACTCTGCTAACGTTGGTGACTCTAAGTAGGAATGTAATACGAAAATACCTACTGGAGATATATGTGGCCTAGGCGTCATTTAGGGATTAGCATATTTGGTTGCGGATCGCAAGGTAGTGAGTTCGAAACATGGTGCCCCTAAACACGATCAGCACTTCTAATTATAGATGCATAATAAAAGTAACAATTCGTCAAGTTTCTTTATCCAAAAAGCCAGAAAAAGCCGTTATAAAGACAAGTGCTATCGTCTGGCTTCCTTTCCTCTGGTCAGTAGCTGAAAATTAAGAAAGACTACGTCTGAATCCTAATTGTCTCTGATATATATGTTTAGTTTATAATATACGACTTGTTTTGAAAATTCTAATTCTTGAGACTCATCAGCTCTTGAAAAAGACCGTGCCCAATTGCCATGTAGTTACAAGCCTTAATTGATAATACTGAGACAGACGCAAGCTAAAAACTGACAACTATCATCTCATAGAAAAGCTTTAGAGAAACTAAGGCAATAGTATTCGACAAATGAATCTCACAAGCATTAGAAAACATTTCAGAGAAGAGCACTTAAAATGAGTAAGACTGTTTCAGCAACTTCAGTATCATCCCATTCTCAAGTACACCACGAAGCAAACAAAAATAGTGTGGTATAAACAAAACTCTTGAATGGATCGACTGCAGATGATGTCTGAATTTAGTAAATGAAATAAAGTAATCACGAAAAACTCATTAGTAACTCATATAAAATAATATATTAAGTTTATATACACCGTTACTAACTTATAATAACTAAAACAGGTTAAGACAAATGTACAAAAATTAGTAAAAGAAAATCGTAGAAACCATCAGAAATTAAAAGAAAAAAAGATTAACAGCGTGTGGGTCTAAATATCCTGGCATTGTAAAAAGTCTCACAATCTTTACACTCAACATCCCTGATACGGATGAGAGCCCCATAAAGATACCTGAACACCCAGAAAAAAACAACAACACCGGTTGTGAATTGACGTGAAACAAAACAAGAGGACTTTACCTTTACACAGTGATGATGTTTTTAAAGTAAACTAGTTCGACTCTATTGGAGAGTCTCACTGCGTATTTATATCAAGTTATGAGTCAGAGAGGACTTTTTTTTATAAACATCTCAATACCAGAGAAAAGCACTATCATCTGGGTCAAAACGTAATTAAAATCCACTCAGGTGGCTCTCTTTGGTTAATGAGATATGGGCCATATTTTCTGATATTTAAAAATTAAATTTATACCGGTTGTACAAAAACTCGTCTATAAAATATAGTCCAAGTACGCTATTTTTCATTGTTTCGATTTGGTTAGGTCATGGCAAACAGGCTCTGTGGTAAATTTTGGATGGCAATATTATAATCCGTGTAGAAGATCCTACTAAGTGATAGGTTAATTAAAATATAACTCTTTGAATAAATTTTAATAAAATTACGTTCCAACAGTAGAAAATCATAAATCATTACTGAACTTGATTCATTCACCAGAAAAATGCTTCCTCAGGAGATCAGCCAATATGGCGATGCCTATTGGAAGTTATTTTCTTTAACGGTCACCATTTTGTAATTATGTCTTGCGCATATAGTTCCCGACATCTTGAGGTCAAGGGTCACAGTCAAAGCATGAATAGGTGGAGGTATACTACTATGTGTTATTTAGGGAAAAGAAATATTTTTTTGTGTTAATAGTTTGCAATATTTGAGATAGTGTGTGAATATCCAATTTTAGATATAGATTACAATCAAATGTAATTTCATGAAAACAAGATCAAAATATTTACAACAAAGTTAAAATACTTTTTTTTAACTAAAAGGATCCAAACATCCATTGAATTATATCAGATTATTTATTGTGAGGTTCCAATAACTATTCTAAATATCAGAAAAGGTTTTTAAATGAATTCATTACATATCCATTGTTGTGAATATTTAGATGTAATAAACTTCAGTAATATATTTATTTTTGTTCGTTTTTAGATTCCAGTTTAAAACTTCGGACATTTAACAACGAAGACCTTTAGTGTGTGTGGTTTCTTTCTACATAATTAATCGGTTCATACGGATTTAAACATTCGAAATTAACTTACGGATTCATACTGATTCACAGGTTCATACATGATTTGCAGGCAAGACTACATGGTAGTTAAAATACTGGATTTATGCCACAGTAATATTAAAAGCCGTTAGATCTAAAAGTGTTCTTTTTCTTACATTTCAGGCTAATATGTTGAGCATTGAGCCTCTTAATTGGTTACCAAATTTGGAACACCATATTATTCTAAAAAACTATACAGAAAATAATCGTTGGCATCTTATGAAAGCAAAGATGGAATACCGCAATCTAGATTACATGTTCTCAAGTAAGTTGTTTAGGCTGTCTTAATGGATATATATTACGTGCTTAAACTGTAAAGTGTATAATCTAACTCAACATGTATCTTTTAATTTAAAGAAACCGTTACAGTAAGACTGCAAAGACTTTAAAAGTTTTAATTTTGTCTGTTGTTGTTTGTTGTAAAGCACAAAACTACACAATGGGCTATCTGTACTGTGCTCACCACGAGTATCGAGCCCGGTTTCTATCTGTATGTACCCAAAGACTTAACGCTGAGCGACTGGGGGTATAATTTTGTCTGACCACACACATGTTTCCAGCAAGCAAGTTGGCAAATAGAATTTGATTTGTTTCATTGCGAATTCACGACCATTCGACAATGCGAGGACACCATTGGTGTAGATATAGTTGGAAGAGCTAGCAAATATATTGATACTGTTTACAGGATAATAATCAAGGATTAAGTATATTTATAGTCAAAGTTGTTTTAGAATTATTGTTAATTATGAACTAAAGATCTAATTAGGAAGAATTTGGTTGTTTACTTCATAAGGGTTTAACCGTCTCAAATTTTGAACTGATAAACTAGAGGAAAAAACAGCTACTTAACAGCACCGACCGCTAACTCTTTGGCCACTTTTCTCTGACAGAATAGTTAAATTTCGCTGTCACTTCTATATACGTCCATTGCTACAAACTGCAGTCTGAGTTCAATAATTACTAAGCCACGCATGAATGGAAAAATGAATACAATGACAATCTTAGTATGAGCGAGGCTCAAAGGAGCAGGGTAATCAAACCCCACAGCCATCAAATAGATTGTGCATTTCAGAGGTTCTAGTCTCCACCCTCAGATATATATATATATATTAAACTAAGCATCGTATTAAGTGTCCATCTTTTAGTTCAAGGGTTAAAACTCTGCAAGAGCAAAATATCAAAAAAATTATGTTATGAATAGTGAAAAACCTCAGGTATAAAGTTATTTGTCTTGTTTGTACTAAAGGTCAGCAGTGGATGAGGTATGATTTACAATGGTATTGATTGTGCTTTAAGATACGTATCTTATTATTTAATTAGACTTACATTTCGCAATAAAACTTTTTCTGTTGAAAATAATCAAAACAACTGATATATATAAGTAAAGTTTCTCTGTGGGACAACGTTAAAATTCGGGGCTCAATCCCCGCGGTGAACACAGGAGATAGCCAATTGTGTCTTTGCCCTAAAAACACACACGCACAGTATAAGTAACCATTTTAATGACACTGTATGAGGTAAGAACAATGAAGTAATGAAATATGTGGCGTTACAGCCGTCGTTAGTTAAGAAAGATGAAATAATATGTAACATAACCCCTGCTGCATCAGGTAAGAACAATGAAGTAATGAAATATGTGGCGTTACAGCCGTCGTTAGTTAAGAAAGGTGAGGTAATGTGTAACATAACCCCTGCTGCATCAGGTAAGAACAATGAAGTAATGAAATATGTGGCGTTACAGCCGTCGTTAGTTAAGAAAGGTGAGGTAATGTGTAATACAACCCCTGCTGCATCAGGTAAGAACAATGAAGTAATGAAATATGTGGCGTTACATCCGTCGTTAGTTAAGAAAGGTGAGGTAATGTGTAATATAACCCCTGCTGCATCAGGTAAGAACAATGAAGTAATGAAATATGTGGCGTTACATCCGTCGTTAGTTAAGAATGGTGAGGTAATGTGTAATATAACCCCTGCTGCATCAGGTAAGAAAGATGAAGCTGTACGACATGTGGCGTAACACCCACAATACAAGGTAAAGAAGATGAAATAATAAAACATAACCCCCACTGTATCTGTTAAGAAAACTTTAATTGTTACGCTATTATCCTAAAAAACAACAAAAACATTAACATAAAATAATTGAAAGTGGGTGGTTCAAACTTCAGAGATTAGATTATCAAACACAAAGTTTTTTTTTTAATTATTCAAGTGCAAAAGTGTTATTTACAATTATTAACATTTGAACTGTGGTTTATTCGTCCCTTCCTTACTAATTTTTCCACCCAAGAACCAAGTGGGCGTCTTTAGGTTTTTTGCACACTAAATGTAATGAGATATGGTTTGTACAGCCTTTTTCCCGTCCCCACCCCCAAATGGCTCAGCGGTAAGTCTGAAATATTATAACTCTAAAAACAGCGTATTGATACTCGTGGTGGGGAGAGCCCAGATAACCTATTGTATAGCTTTGCGCTTAACAACAAGCAAAAAAACGATGTTTGTTGTTGTTGTTTTTTCAATGAATCAATCAATATATAATTTTTCATATAACACAAGTTTAATTTCCCAATTCCCCTGGTTCCTGAGAATACAAAATGCCTTGTCAGGAAAGGGTTAAAGGTTTTGCACTTGTGATCTATGAAAACTCAAATAACCTATGATATAAAAAAAGCAACTAATTATAGACTTTTCGTATAGATTCCAGCTACCATGCTGTTGTTGTAACTTTCTCCATCAAGCGACGGACTCCAGCGCTAGCTCTGTGTGTACTGACCCCACTATTACTTAGCCTCGTTCTCAGCTTACTGACCTTTTGGATTCCTCCTACGTCATCAATGAGGTCAGCGGTTGCTGTAACTGCCGTTTCTGCAACTTTTGGAGTTCTTCTAACGTTAGCACACATACTTCCTTCTACGGCAACAAGCCGTCCTATGTTAGGTATTTTCTGTGTTCATCTAAATTTGGGATTTAATGCTTAATGTGTTGTAGGATAGTTAAAGGTGTTAGTTTATGTTATATTTAACAGCTGCTTGACTTATCTTTCTTAGCAACTACAGTGATGTGTTCAAAATTGTTTGCATATTATTTTTTTTATTAAGAATGAAATAGGAAAGGAACAACATTCTTTTCATAAAAAAAAGTTGTATACAAAGAAAAAAAATCAAAAGGGTATTCTAAATGAAGAAATAAACGGGAGCCCATATTGAATCCATGGTCAATCTTTTTTCATCACCTTGTGATACATCAATTGGAATTAACATGAAGAAAGATATAATATATAAATATGTACTAAATGATGAATAAACAATAAAATGTTTCCTGGTACAATTGATATAAATAAGAAACTGGTTTAAAAGAGGGAATTTCAGTATACATATAAGATGCAATTAATAATACAGAAAAGTCTTATGTTGTTTTTATAAATTAGAAATAAAAAAAAAGTATTGTGAACATTAATAAAGACCAGAAAATAAAATAGAATTCACGCATGACGCACGAAAAATATAAACGTGGGCTGCTTACAAATTGAAATTATTTAATGTGTAAGTAATGTAACATTTCTTATGCCATGGTTTAACTTTAATATTTTCAGTTTTATTTTTTTCTAAGTTACATTTGAACTAATGATTATTCTTATATTTTTTACACCCAGTTGATTTTGTAGCTGCATCGCTGATGGTGGCGCTTTTGTCAGTCATTCATACGGTCATGGCATTAGCAATCAGAAAACTGGATGTTTCTTATCCACTGATTTTTGAGCAACTGAACAACCTTCCTGATTGGTTGATTCAATTTCTCTGCATTTCAAACTATAGAGAGGCTAAGGAAGCAGAAGAAAGATTTCTGGTCATGGAAAACTATACAGATGTTCAAGAAACACCTTCCCAAGTGCCAGAAGATACAGACATCTCGACACGCAATAAAGATCGAATAAAATGGAGAGTTTTCATGCTAGTAATTGATCGTTTTTTTTTCTGGTTTTATGTTTTATTCAGTGTCGTTCTGTTTATCATAATTCTCTCTTCCGAATAATCAGAAACTTTTATACATCTAAATTTCCTTTAGTAATATTCCAAATATTCAGGAATATCTCCGTTTCTTTTTTGTGCTTGAAAATTCACAGAAACATAGTGGTAATCTGTGTTGTGATAGAGTTTCGCCAGCTTTAAACCAAGGGACAACGCATGTTCGGGATTCATGTCATTTTGTTGTCAGAAGCAGTTTTTAAAAAGTTAATCTGACTGAAAATCCAGTAGAAACAATTCCAGATTATGTATGACCACAGGGTTGTCTTTAGAATGAGAAATGTGATTGTAAATGTGAAACAATAATTAACTGTATGTTATATAATAATAAAATTGACTACTGGAGTCGCGGGTTTAACTTCATTATTTAGTTTGTTATAATTTTAAGAGTTTAATGTAATAAAACACTCGTTTAAAAATTAGCTTCTTTGAACATTGAATTTTCAGCTATTTCTGTTATTTCTCAATGAAAACAATAAACCTGTTCAACTAACATCTGTTATTTCTTGATGGAAACAATAAACCTGTTCAACTATCATCTGTCATTTCTTGATGAATACGTTAAAACTGATCAACTGTTTCTGTCATTTCTTTTCGAAATATGTTCAACTATCATGTTTCCTTTCTTAATGAACACAACAGAAATGTTCAACTATCATGTTTCATTTCTTTAGGAATTCATTAAAAAAATCAACTATATATGTCATTTTCTGAAGAACACAACATAAATGTTCAACTATCATGTTTCATTTCTTTAGGAATTCAATAAAAAAATCAACTATATATGTCATTTTCTGAAGAACACAACATAAATGTTCAACTATCATGTTTCATTTCTTTAGGAATTCATTAAAAAAATCAACTATATATGTCATTTTCTGAAGAACACAACATAAATGTTCAACTATCATGTTTCATTTCTTTAGGAATTCAATAAAAAAATCAACTATATATGTCATTTTCTGAAGAACACAACATAGATGTTCAACTATCATACTTCATTTCTTTATTAATACAAAAGAAAAGATCAACATTCAACTCTGTAATTTATTTTTGAATACTAGCGTATATCTCGTCAAAATTGATGGGGCAAGTACTACCACCCCACCGTATAGTATACTCTAACCTCACCTTTCATACTAACTGAATTATATTTTGCGAAATCTAGATTCACCAATAAAGAGGCAGAAAAGTGCAGTCGAGGTAGTCAAACGGTGGTAAATTCCTTTGTGAGCCAATCAAAATTAAGATCATTTGTGATATGAATTCGTGGCATATTCATAGAATAATTATTTGCAACAATCAGTTAGATTAACAACTTCTAATATATAGAAAAGCCAATGCGTTTTGGTCACACTACGTTCCAATGATGTCTTTTATGTCATGTTGCTTAGCAACAAAACTATAATCTAATATTGTTGTTAGTCTATGTACTGAATGTATAAAATGAAATGTATAGACAACAAAACTGGAAAAATATTTATTGATTTCATAATTTAGAGTCTCCGAAGTTTAAGTAGTTTTTTTTATCAAAAACGTTGGTGATATAACAAAAAATAGCTTAATTCAGAAATTATTTAATTTAGAATTGAATCGATATTTTTATCTTCATGATAAATGTCTCCCAGTGACACCGCGGTATGTTTACGGATTTAGAACGTTAGAAACAAGGTTTTGATACCCGTAGTGGGCAGAGCACAGATAGCCCATTGTGTTGCTTTGTGCTTAATAACAAAAACAATTCATGATACATTTTATGCACTTGGCTCCAGGCTAGGTGATCACACACTACGTCTTTACTTTAGGCTTATTATACCAACACTTACTAAACTTATAAGGTTTCACGGTACTCCCTCACGGTCCCCTTTCACCCCCGTCACACAAATGATAAAGGGCAGACGGTAATTGAACTATTCTATCTGGATAAATGAATTTGGGCTTTTATTTCGAGAAACCAAGGGAAATCAAGCGTGACGTGACACACGCTTGTTTTATACAGGTTATATAATACAAATGCTCGACTATTAGGGACTTTTATTTGTGAACATAATGTAAATGTTCAACTGTAATTTGATTTTACTTGCGATAATATATAGGAGTCACAAACAGCGAGTAGTGGCAACTAGATGATGAATTTATTGAATGTTCAAAACATATCACAAAATACAAAATAAAAGTGAATACGTTGTACAACGTACTAATATTTTGTGAGTTTTTGCTTTACACAACGTATTGCAACTTGTTTTCATGTTGTCATAAAGCTCATGAATATATTATGCTGTAATATTGTTCCCAGTGTTCTTCATTACACCCCATAATTCCACAAAGTTGTTTGGTCGTTTTTTGACTTCCTCAGATTTTACATAAGCTTATGCATTTTAATAATGTTCGTATCGAGACTTTGAGCTATTGTTGCGAGTGTTTTATCTGCTTCTTTACTGTCAACATATCGTTTTGTCACACCTGTGGTAAATATGGGACCATCATGTTGATGACTGGAAGATGAGTCCCGTCCCGATGAATGGTGTGCCTGATGAAATGGTATAATGGATCTGCAATTACTTGTCAGAAATTAGGGTGCAATTAATTTTAGTAGATCACCGAAATCGTTGGCTGAAATGTAGCCTCCACAATTTTTTACTGTATATGTTATCTATTTACTATTATACCATCCTCTTCTCCGCTGTCGAACAACTGGTGTTTTGGTTTCTGAACAATTCGAACTTCGATCCATCTTTAAAGAGAACACGTCACCAGCTTTGCTCATTCTTCTATTTGTGACCAATGTGGACCTTTGGTTTGGTTTCCTCTATTCAGTTTGTTTGAAGTTAAGCACAAAGCTACACAACAGGCTATTTGTGATCTGCTCACCACGGGTATCAAACCCCGGTTTCTAGCGTTGTAAGTCCACAAATATACCGCTGTGTCACTGGGGGCCCCTCTATTCAGAAGCAGTGTTTGAGCAGTTATGTGTCCGTTGAAACCATTCTGTGCTATTACATATCTTACACTTCTCGAGGTAACAATCACACCTGTATTTACTCTGTTTGCACTACAAGGTTAAAGTGTGCATGTCACGACCTTTTACAGTGTTACAGCCAGGCATGGACAGGTGGTTAGGACACTCGACTCGCAATCTGTGGGTCGCGGGTTCGAATCCCCGTCACACCAAAACATGTTCATCCGGTGTCCGAACTAGGACGCCAGTCCTACTCCCGGATACTCACCTCCAACAAAATTTGGAGGTGTGAGAAACACCATACGAAACTACTACAGTGTTACATATAACTTTGTTGTTAATGCATGTCAATAAGTTTGACATTAAAACCTATATTATAATTAAAAGTTTTATTTCATCTAAGCTTAAATTGATTAATTTCGAAAGAAAATGTTTAAAAATTCTCAATTGTCACTTGTCTGTATAATGTGACTGCCTTGAAATTGACCATTTCAGGTTTTCTTTCTACCTTGATTTGATTTTATGAGTGTCCAGCTAATAACAAACACATATTAAAGATATTGACAAGCCAGAATATAAACTAAGTATCTTCAATGCTCATATTTTACCAAGCTTTAAAAGAAATTTCAAACTCACGTGACACGCCCCTCCAACATCATTCTGGCATTCAAAAAATTCCAATAATTCTCTCTGACGTTGCTATTGGATTATTTACAACCAAAAGAAAAAGATGAATTGGGCAGGTTATTTTTTTTCTTTCTCGTAAGTAAATATTTGGCCTCAGATTTATTGTTTGCGGTCGGCGTACAGCTTCTATCAGCTAAAAGAATTTTGAACCTATTTGTAGCTTAGTTAAAGAGGGAGATAAATTATGGTAGCTTGGCGAAATTATATAACAGTGCCCGATATATCTTTTAAGTTTTGAAATGCATATTTGAAATAAATATGTGGGTAACGAACACCCTCACAAAATCTAGGTTTAGAGTGCCTCGTCCTTAAAGGCAAAAAGCCCGATTCCAGATATAAATACCAATTCTCTTGATTTTTATGTGTATTTATTGTTTGTTTGTTTGTAATTAAGCACAATGGGCTATCTGTACTCTGCCCACCACGGATATCGAAACCCGGATTCTAGCGTTGTAAGTCCGCAGACATACCGCTGTGCCACGGGGGGGGGGGTGCGTGTATTTTATATTTATTGTTATAAAAGTAATAAAAGTTAGAGACGTTAAGTTAAATAAGAAACCCTAAATGAAAAGAAAAAATTCTCGTGATACTTAATATCCTATATTGAAAGCACCATTCACAAATAGCGTGGCGTGACTGTAAATCGATCATTTAGTTATAACATCCACTAAGATACCTTAACATCACTTTTGAAGAGTTTCGGTTTTCTACCTCAACCACTTTTTTTTATTAACAGTAATAGTTTCAAATACCCTCTTCAGAGTCTTGCACACAGTTTGTACTGAAACATGAAACTTTAGAGGAAGAACAAATGTTATATTCTTATGCCACACCGGATTTAGAGGAAGAACAAATGTTATATTCTTATGCCACACCGTGGATTTAGAGGAAGAACAAATGTTATATTCTTATGCCACACCGTGGATTTAGAGGAAGAACAAATTTTATATTATTATGCCACACCGTGGATTTAGAGGAAGAACAATTGTTATTCTTATTCATTGAAACTGGGGTTAACTGGGTCTTAGATGAAACTATCGATAAAATTTTGTATTTGTTTAGGGCGCTGTCATTTATTTTATCTTCGTAAACGCTGTCTCTAGTAATACTTTTTTCTTCATTTCGGTGTTTATTGGAGGAACAACATATTTTGAGAGCTATATTGATGAACGTATAAAAGGCTGAACTTTTGTAAGGAAGTAGATGAAAGTTGTAGGGGTGGAAGAGAGTTTTCGGAATACCTTTGTTGAAATGTCTCCAAAGAATATTAAGGAAGAATAATGTCTCGGAAGATTTATATTTAAATAAAAAATTAATATCGTGGTGAAGAAAGTTTGCATGATTGTGGAACATTGTTAAAGCATCGTCGCTGTCTCTTCCCACGATGAAAGTGTCACAAGTATACATGATTCAAATCTGTGGCTTCTTGATGCTGCATTTCAAAACCTGGTTTTGAATTTGTTCATCAATAATTTACATAGGTGGTATGATACAGGTGAGCCCATAGCCAACTCGAATTTTTTTGTTTGTTTGTTATTAACTGTGAAGAAAGCTGATTGTACGCTGATTGGGAGATTTTATTATCAAACAGCCATGGGACTTCAGTGGCTCGAGTTTCAGAAGATTTCTGTATATCGTCGTTAAAAGGTTCTTCCTGACTGTGCCTTTAATTAAGGGATTTTTAATAGTTAGTCGCGAGAGTTCTCTTGTTCTTGTTGCTATTAAGTTTTTTATAGTTTGGGTTTTTGAGGATGTTCTACACTAGTCTACAGAAAATTAATATAACTGTAATGAAAAGTAATTCTGGTGAATTCTGAATGATCCTCAACAGTTATATAACTATAACGAAAGCAATACT